GACACAGAGACACACACAGAGACACACACAGAGACACAGAGACACAGAGACACACACAGAGACACAGAGACACACACAGAGACACACACAGAGACACAGAGACACACACAGAGACACTCACAGAGACACACACAGAGACACACACAGAGACACAGAGACACACACAGAAACACACACAGAGACACACACAGAGACACTCACACAGAGACACTCACACAGAGACACATAGACACAGAGACACTCACACAGAGACACAGAGACACACACAGAGACACACACAGAGACACACATAGACACACAGAGACACACACAGAGACACACACACAGACACAGAGACACTCACACAGAGACACAGAGACACTCACACAGAGACACACACAGAGACACAGAGACACACACAGAGACACAGAGACACACAGACACACACACAGAGACACAGAGACACACAGAGACACAGAGACACAGAGACACACAGACACACACACAGAGACACACACAGAGACACAGAGACACAGAGACACATTCAGAGACACACACAGAGACACAGAGACACAGAGACACATTCAGAGACACACACAGAGACACAAAGACACACACAGAGACACAGAGACACACACAGAGACACAGACAGACACACAGAGACACACACAGAGACACACACACAGACACACACAGACACACACACAGAGACAGAGACACACACAGAGACACACATAGACACACACACAAAGACACACACAGACACACACATACACAGAGACACTCACAGAGACACACAGAGACACACACAGAGACATAGACACACACACAGAGACACACACAGAGACACACACAGAGACACACACAGAGACACAGAGACACACACAGAGACACACAGACACACACAGAGACACACACAGAGATACAGAGACACACAGAGATACACAGACACACAGAGACACACAGAGACACAGAGACACACAGAGACACACACAGAGACACAGAGAGACACAGAGACACACACAGAGACACACAGACACACACAGAGACACACACAGAGATACAGAGACACACAGAGACACAGAGAGACACACACAGAGACACAGAGACACACAGACACACACACAGAGACACAGAGACACACAGAGACACAGAGACACTCACACAGAGACACACACAGAGACACACACAGAGACACAGAGACACAGAGACACATTCAGAGACACACACAGAGACACAGAGACACATTCAGAGACACACACAGAGACACAGAGACACATTCAGAGACACACACAGAGACACATTCAGAGACACACACAGAGACACAGAGACACACACAGAGACACAGAGACACACACAGAGACACACACAGAGACACTCACAGAGACACACAGAGACACACACAGAGACATAGACACACACACAGAGACACACACAGAGACACACACAGAGACACAGAGACACACACAGAGACACAGAGACACACAGAGAGAGACGCACATGGTGAGTGGCTGGGTAACTGAGTGACTAGGTGAGTGGTTGACTAAGCGGGTGAGTGACTAAGCGAGTGAGTGACTAGGTGAGTGGTTGACTAAGTGAGTGAGTGACTAAGCTAGTGAGTGACTAAGAGTGTGGGTGAGTGACTAAGAGAGTGAGTGACTAAGTGAGTCAGTGACTAAGCGAGTGAGTGACTAAGCGAGTGAGTGACTAAGCGAGTGAGTGACTAAGTGTGTGGGTGAGTGACTAAGCGGGTGAGTGACTAAGCGAGTGACTAGGTGAGTGGTTGACTAAGTGAGTGAGTGACTAAGCTACTGAGTGACTAAGAGTGTGGGTGAGTGACTAAGAGATTGAGTGACTAAGTGAGTCAGTGACTAAGCGAGTGAGTGACTAAGCGAGTGAGTGACTAAGAGGGTGAGTGACTAAGCGAGTGAGTGACTAGGTGAGTGGTTGACTAAGTGAGTGAGTGACTAAGCTACTGAGTGACTAAGAGTGTGGGTGAGTGACTAAGAGAGTGAGTGACTAAGTGAGTCAGTGACTAAGCGAGTGAGTGACTAAGCGAGTGAGTGACTAAGTGTGTGGGTGAGTGACTAAGCGGGTGAGTGACTAAGCGAGTGACTAAGAGGGTGAGAGACTAAGCGAGTGAGTGACTAAGCGGGTGGTTGGGTGACTAAACGAGTGAGTGACTGGGCGAGTGGCTAAGCGGGTGAGTGACTAAGCGAGTGACTAGGTGAGTGGTTGACTAAGTGAGTGACTAAGCGAGTGACTAGGCGAGTGGTTGACTAAGTGAGTGAGTGACTAAGCGAGTGAGTGACTAAGTGTGTGGGTGAGTGACTAAGAGAGTGAGTGACTAAGTGTGTGGGTGAGTGACTAAGCGGGTGAGTGACTGAGCGGGTGAGTGACTACGCGAGTGACTAAGCGGGTGACTAAGCGAGTGAGTGACTAAGCGGGTGAGTAACTAAGCGGGCGAGTGACTACGCGAGTGACTAAGCGGGTGACTAAGCGAGTGAGTGACTAAGCGAGTGAGTGACTAAGCGGGTGAGTGACTACGCGAGTGACTAAGCGGGTGACTAAGCGAGTGAGTGACTAAGCGAGTGAGTGACTAAGCGGGTGAGTGACTACGCGAGTGACTAAGCGGGTGACTGAGCGGGTGAGTGACTAAGCGAGTGACTAAGCGGGTGAGTGACTAAGTGTGTGAGTGACTGGGCGAGTGGCTGACTAAGCGAGTGAGTGACTAAGCGAGTGACTAAGTGGGCGAGTGAGTGACTAAGCAAGAGGGTGACTAAGCGGGCGAGTGACTAAGCGAGTGAGTGACTGGGCGAGTGGCTGACTAAGCGAGTGAGTGACTAAGTGAGTGACTAAGCGGGCGAGTGAGTGACTAAGCAAGAGGGTGACTAAGCGGGCGAGTGACTAAGCGAGTGAGTGACTGGGCGAGTGGCTGACTAAGCGGGTGAGTGACTGAGCGAGTGAGTGACTAAGTGTGTGGGTGAGTGACTAAGTGGCTGACTAAGCGGGTGAGTGACTGAGCGAGTGAATGACTAAGCGGGTGAGTGACTAAGCGAGTGACTAAGCGAGTGAGTGACTAAGTGTGTGGGTGAGTGACTGAGCGGGTGAGTGACTAAGCGGGTGACTAAGCGAGTGAGTGACTAAGTGTGTGGGTGAGTGACTAAGTGTGTGGGTGAGTGACTGAGCGGGTGAGTGACTAAGCGGGTGAGTGACTAAGTGTGTGGGTGAGTGACTGAGCGGGTGAGTGACAAAGCGGGTGACTAAGCGAGTGACTAAGCGAGTGACTAAGCGGGTGAGCGACTGGGCGAGTGTTTTTTGGTTTCTGGCTGAGTGGACCTAGTCGCGTCACGAACCCCGGCCAGGAGTCCATCCTCCTCAGCCGCCTCGTCACGGCCCAGCAGAGTCCTCCTCAAGTTGTCCATCGCTAGAGGTCCACCCTAGAGTCGACCTCTCACTCACCTATAGTCCACCCTGCTGGTCTAGAGTCCACCTGTCACTCACCTATAGTCCACCCTGCTGGTCTAGAGTCCACCTGTCACTGACCTATAGTCCACCCTGCTGGTCTAGAGTCTAGAGTCTAGAGGAGTCGACCTCTCACTCACCTATAGTCCACCCTGCTAGTCTATAGTCTAGAGGAGTCCACCTCTCACTCACCTATAGTCCACCCTGCTGGTCTAGAGTCCACCTGTCACTCACCTATAGTCCACCCTGCTGGTCTAGAGTCCACCTGTCACTGACCTATAGTCCACCCTGCTGGTCTAGAGTCTAGAGGAGTCGACCTCTCACTCACCTATAGTCCACCCTGCTGGTCTATAGTCTAGAGGAGTCCACCTCTCACTCACCTATAGTCCACCCTGCTAGTCTATAGTCTAGAGGAGTCCACCTCTCACTCACCTATAGTCCACCCTGCTGGTCTAGAGTCCACCTGTCACTCACCTATAGTCCACCCTGCTAGTCTAGAGTCTAGAGGAGTCCACCTGTCACTCGCCTATAGTCCACCCTGCTGGTCTAGAGTCTAGAGGAGTCCACCTGTCACTCGCCTATAGTCCACCCTGCTAGTCTAGAGTCTAGAGGAGTCCACCTGTCACTCAGTTATAGTCCACCCTGCTAGTCTAGAGTTTTAGAGGAGTCCACCTCTCACTCGCCTATAGTCCACCCTGCTAGTCTAGAGTCTAGAGGAGTCCACCTGTCACTCAGCTATAGTCCACCCTGCTAGTCTAGAGGAGTCCACCTGTCACTCAGCTATAGTCCACCCTGCTGGTCTAGAGTCTAGAGGAGTTCACCTGTCACTCACCTATAGTCCACCCTGCTAGTCTAGAGTCTAGAGGAGTCCACCTGTCACTCACCTATAGTCCACCCTGCTGGTCTAGAGTCTAGAGGAGTCCACCTCTCACTCAGCTATAGTCCACCCTGCTGGTCTAGAGTCTAGAGGAGTCCACCTCTCACTCAGCTATAGTCCACCCTGCAGGTCCAGAGTCTAGAGGAGTCCACCTGTCACTCAGCTATAGTCCACCCTGCTAGTCTAGAGTCTAGAGGAGTCCACCTGTCACTCAGCTATAGTCCACCCTGCTGGTCTAGAGTCTAGAGGAGTCCACCTCTCACTCAGCTATAGTCCACCCTGCTGGTCTAGAGTCTAGAGGAGTCCACCTCTCACTCACCTATAGTCCACCCTGATAGTCTAGAGTCTAGAGGAGTCCACCTGTCACTCAGCTATAGTCCACCCTGCAGGTCTAGAGTCTAGAGGAGTCCACCTGTCACTCAGCTATAGTCCACCCTGCGAGTCTAGAGTCTAGAGGAGTCCACCTGTCACTCAGCTATAGTCCACCCTGCTGGTCTAGAGTCTAGAGGAGTCCACCTGTCACTCAGCTATAGTCCACCCTGCTGGTCTAGAGTCTAGAGGAGTCCACCTGTCACTCACCTATAGTCCACCCTGCTAGTCTAGAGTCTAGAGGAGTCCACCTGTCACTCACCTATAGTCCACCCTGCTGGTCTAGAGTCTAGAGGAGTCCACCTCTCACTCAGCTATAGTCCACCCTGCTGGTCTAGAGTCTAGAGGAGTCCACCTCTCACTCAGCTATAGTCCACCCTGCAGGTCTAGAGTCTAGAGGAGTCCACCTGTCACTCAGCTATAGTCCACCCTGCTAGTCTAGAGTCTAGAGGAGTCCACCTGTCACTCAGCTATAGTCCACTCTGCTGGTCTAGAGTCTAGAGGAGTCCACCTCTCACTCAGCTATAGTCCACCCTGCTGGTCTAGAGTCTAGAGGAGTCCACCTCTCACTCACCTATAGTCCACCCTGATAGTCTAGAGTCTAGAGGAGTCCACCTCTCACTCGCCTATAGTCCACCCTGCTGGTCTAGAGTCTAGAGGAGTCCACCTCTCACTCAGCTATAGTCCACCCTGCAGGTCCAGAGTCTAGAGGAGTCCACCTGTCACTCAGCTATAGTCCACCCTGCTAGTCTAGAGTCTAGAGGAGTCCACCTGTCACTCAGCTATAGTCCACCCTGCTGGTCTAGAGTCTAGAGGAGTCCACCTCTCACTCAGCTATAGTCCACCCTGCTGGTCTAGAGTCTAGAGGAGTCCACCTCTCACTCACCTATAGTCCATCCTGATAGTCTAGAGTCTAGAGGAGTCCACCTGTCACTCAGCTATAGTCCACCCTGCTAGTCTAGAGTCTAGAGGAGTCCACCTGTCACTCAGCTATAGTCCACCCTGCTGGTTTAGAGTCTAGAGGAGTCCACCTGTCACTCAGCTATAGTTCACCCTGCTGGTCTAGAGTCTAGAGGAGTCCACCTCTCACTCACCTATAGTCCACCCTGCTAGTCTAGAGGAGTCCACCTGTCACTCAGCTATAGTCCACCCTGCTAGTTTAGAGTCTAGAGGAGTCCACCTGTCACTCAGCTATAGTTCACCCTGCTGGTCTAGAGTCTAGAGGAGTCCACCTCTCACTCACCTATAGTCCACCCTGCTAGTCTAGAGGAGTCCACCTGTCACTCAGCTATAGTCCACCCTGCTAGTCTAGAGTCTAGAGGAGTCCACCTGTCACTCGCCTATAGTCCACCCTGCTGGTCTAGAGTCTAGAGGAGTCCACCTCTCACTCGCCTATAGTCCACCCTGCTAGTCTAGAGTCTAGAGGAGTCGACCTCTCACTCACCTATAGTCCAACCTGCTAGTCTAGAGTCTAGAGGAGTCCACCTGTCACTCACCTATAGTCCACCCTGCTAGTCTAGAGTCTAGAGGAGTCCACCTGTCACTCAGCTATAGTCCACCCTGCTAGTCTAGAGTCTAGAGGAGTCCACCTCTCACTCACCTATAGTCCACCCTGCTAGTCTAGAGGAGTCCACCTGTCACTCAGCTATAGTCCACCCTGCTGGTCTAGAGTCTAGAGGAGTCCACCTCTCACTCAGCTATAGTCCACCCTGCTAGTCTAGAGTCTAGAGGAGTCCACCTGTCACTCAGCTATAGTCCACCCTGCTAGTCTAGAGTAGACCTCGAGAGGGGAACGCGTGACTTAGGAAGGAGAGAGCCGACTAGGGAATCGATTCCAGCGAGCCGGAGCTACTAGGAGCGCAGCGATTCCAGAATCGATGTTGACGATATTGAATGAGTGGGTGGGTGAGTGGGTAGGTGAGTGGGTGAGTGAGTGGGTAGGTGAGTGGGTAGGTGAGTGGGTGACTGAGTGAGTGGGTGAGTGGGTAGGTGAGTGGGTGAGTGAGTGGGTAGGTGAGTGGGTGAGTGGGTGAGTGAGTGGGTAGGTGAGTGGGTGAGTGAGTGGGTGAGTGAGTGGGTAGGTGAGTGGGTGGGTGAGTGGGTAGGTGAGTGGGTAGGTGAGTGGGTGAGTGAGTGGGTAGGTGAGTGGGTGACTGAGTGAGTGGGTGAGTGGGTAGGTGAGTGGGTGAGTGAGTGGGTGGGTGGGTAGGTGAGTGGGTGAGTGGGTGAGTGAGTGGGTGAGTGGGTAGGTGAGTGGGTGAGTGAGTGGGTGAGTGAGTGGGTGAGTGAGTGGGTAGGTGAGTGGGTGGGTGAGTGGGTGGGTGAGTGGGTAGGTGAGTGGGTAGGTGAGTGGGTGAGTGAGTGGGTAGGTGAGTGGGTGACTGAGTGAGTGGGTGAGTGGGTAGGTGAGTGGGTAGGTGAGTGGGTGAGTGAGTGGGTGAGTGGGTAGGTGAGTGGGTGAGTGAGTGGGTGAGTGAGTGGGTAGGTGAGTGGGTGGGTGAGTGAGTGGGTGAGTGAGTGGGTGAGTGGGTAGGTGAGTGGGTGGGTGAGTGGGTAGGTGAGTGGGTAGGTGAGTGGGTGGGTGAGTGGGTAGGTGAGTGCGTAGGTGAGTGGGTGAGTGAGTGGGTAGGTTAGTGAGTGGGTGGTTGAGTGACTATATCCTGAAGAAGGCTCATGGCCCAAAACGTCGCCTCTATAAACGTTCCCATATTAAACCCACACCAAATGAATAACAATCGATTCCATTACAATAAAGAACGATTCAACGTCAAGAGAATCGATTCCAAAGTTTTCTCGAACGAACTTTCGGTTTGCCAGAGAATCGATTCGACCTAAAAGCATCTACACATTGAGAAATCGATTCCCATCATTCAAATAACACTGAAAAACCCGATCCGATTCCCATGTTGAAGTAAGAATCGATTTCCGTGTTGTGGCTCGGGAAAGTTTTCCGCGCATGCGCAGTGGAGCCGCTTCCGCGTGGATGCGGGCGGCGCGCGCATAGGTCGACTCGGCCAGAAATGAATAAATAAATTCCACTCACTCACCCACCCACTCACTCACCCACTCACTCACCCACCCCACTCACTCACCCACCTCACTCACTCACCCACTCACCCACCCACTCACCCACCCACCCACTCACTCACCCACCCACCCACTCACCCACCCACCCACTCACTCACCCACTCACTCACTCACCCACTCACCCACCCACTCACCCACCCACCCACTCACTCACCCACCCACCCACCCACTCACCCACCCACTCACTCACTCACTCACCCACCCACCCACTCACTCACTCACCCACCCACTCACTCACTCACTCACCCACTCACTCACCCACCCACTCACCCACTCACCCACCCACTCACTCACCCACTCACCCACTCACCCACTCACTCACTCACCCACTCACTCACCCACTCACCCACTCACTCACCCACCCACCCACTCACCCACTCACTCACCCACCCACCCACTCACTCACTCACCCACTCACTCACCCACTCACTCACTCACCCACTCACCTACTCACTCACCCACTCACTCACCCACCCCCTCACTCACCCACTCACTCACTCACCCACTCACTCACCCACCCACCCACTCACTCACTCACCCACTCACTCACCCACTCACTCACCCACCCACTCACTCACTCACCCACCCACTCACCCACCCACTCACTCACTCACCCACTCACCCATTCACTCACTCACTCACCCACCCACCCACCCACTCACCCACCCACCCACTCACCCACCCACCCACCCACTCACCCACCCACTCATCCACCCACTCACTCACCCACTCACTCACCCACCCACCCACTCACTCACCCACCCACTTACTCACCCACCCACTTACTCACTCACCCACTCACTCACCCACTCACCCACTCACTCACCCACCCACTCACTCACCCACTCACTCACTCACCCACCCACCCACTCACCCACCCACCCACTCACTCACCCACCCACTCACCCACTCACCCACCCATTCACCCACCCACTCACTCACCCACTCACCCACTCACTCACCCACCCACTCTCACCCACCCACTCACCCACCCACTTACCCACCCACTTACCCACTCACTCACTCACTCACCCACTCACCCACTCACTCACCCACCCACTCACTCACTCACCCACTCACTCACCCACCCACCCACTCACCCACTCACCCACTCACCCACCCACCCACCCACTCACTCACCCACTCACCCACCCACTCACCCACCCACTCACTCCACCCACTCACTCACCCACCCACCCACTCACTCACTCACCCACCCACTCACTCACTCACCCACTCACCTACTCACTCACCCACTCACTCACCCACCCACTCACTCACCCACCCACTCACTCACTCACCCACTCACTCACCCACCCACTCACTCACTCACCCACTCAGTCACCCACTCACTCACCCACCCACTCACTCACTCACCCACCCACTCACCCACCCACTCACTCACCCACTCACCCATTCACTCACTCACTCACTCACCCACCCACCCACTCACCCACCCACCCACTCACCCACTCATCCACCCACTCACTCACCCACTCACTCACCCACCCACCCACTCACCCACTCGCTCACTCACTCACCCACCCACTTACTCACCCACCCACTTACTCACTCACCCACTCACTCACCCACTCACCCACTCACTCACCCACTCACTCATTCACCCACCCACTCACCCACTCACTCACCCAATCACTCACCCACCCACTCACTCACCCACCCACTCACTCACCCACTCACTCACTCACCCACCCGCTCACTCACCCACTCACCCACCCACTCACCCACCCACTCTCACTCACCCACCCACTCACTCAGTCACCCACCCACTCACTCATTCACCCACCCACTCACTCATCCACCCACTCACTCACTCACCCACCCACCCACTCACCCACTCACCCACCCACTCACCCACCCACCCACTCACCCACTCATCCACCCACTCACCCACCCACTCACTCACCCACCCACCCACTCACTCACCCACTCGCTCACTCACTCACCCACCCACCCACTCACTCACTCACCCACCCACTCACTCACCCACTCACTCACCCACCCACCCACTCACTCACCCACTCGCTCACTCACTCACCCACCCACCCACCCGCTCACTCACCCACTCACCCACCCACTCACCCACCCACTCTCACTCACCCACCCACTCACTCAGTCACCCACCCACTCACTCATTCACCCACCCACTCACTCATTCACCCACTCACTCAATCATTCACCCACCCACTCACTTACTCATCCACCCACTCACTCACTCACCCACCCACCCACTCACCCACTCACCCACCCACTCATCCACCCACTCACCCACTCATCCACCCACTCACCCACCCACTCACTCACCCACCCACTCACTCACCCACCCACTCACTCACCCACTCACTCACCCACTCACTCACTCACTGACCCACCTCACTCACTTACCCACTCACTCACCCACTCACTCATTCACCCTCCCACCCACTCATTCATTCACCCACCCACTCATTCATTCATTCACCCACCCACTCATTCATTCACCCACGCACTCACTCATTCACCCACCCACTCATTCATTCACCCACCCACTCACTCATTCACCCACCCACTCACTCACCCACTCGCTCACTCACTCACCCACCCACTTACCCACCCACTTACCCACTCACTCACTCACCCACTCACCCACTCACTCACCCACCCACTCACTCACTCACCCACTCACCCACCCACTCACTCACCCACCCACTCACTCACTCACCCACTCACTCACCCACTCACTCACTCACCCACCCACCCACTCACCCACTCACTCACCCACCCACCCACTCACCCACTCACTCACCCACCCACCCACTCACTCACTCACCCACCCACTCACTCACCCACTCACTCACCCACTCACCCACTCACTCACCCACTCACTCACTCACCCATTCACCCACTCACTCATTCACCCACCCACTCATTCATTCACCCACCCAGCCATCCAGCCACCCACCCACCCACTCACTCACCCACTCACTCATTCATTCACCCACCCACTCACTCATTCACCCACCCACTCATTCGCTCACTCACCCATTCACTCACTCACCCATTCACCCACTCACTCACCCACCCACTCACTCATTCACCCACCCACTCACCCACCCACCCACTCACCCACTCACTCACCCACCCACTCACTCACCCCTCACTCACTCACCCACTCACTCACCCACTCACTCACTCACCCTCCCCCCCACTCACTCATTCACCCACCCACTCACTCATTCACCCACCCACCCACTCACTCATTCACCCACCCACTCACTCATTCACCCACCCACCCACTCATTCATTCACCCACGCACTCACTCATTCACCCACCCACTCATTCATTCACCCACGCACTCACTCATTCACCCACCCACTCATTCATTCACCCACCCACTCACTCGTTCACCCACCCACTCACCCATCAACGCACTCACCCACTCACCCACTCACTCACCCACTCACCCACCCACCCACTCACCCACTCGCTCACTCACTCACCCACCCACTTACCCACCCACTTACTCACCCACTCACTCACTCACCCACTCACCCACTCACTCACCCACCCACTCACCCACTCACTCACCCACCCACTCACTCACCCACCCACTCACTCACTCACCCACTCACTCACCCACTCACTCACTCACCCACCCACTCACCCACTCACTCACCCACTCACTCACCCACCCACTCACCCACTCACCCACCCACTCACCCACTCACTCACTCACCCACCCACTCACTCAGTCACCCACCCACTC